CAGCAATTCCTCTTTGTTACATTCCCCTTGATCATGCCCTACCAGGCCTCCCACACCCACCTCACCACCAATTTGGATCACTTGTTTTTCCCTTTCAGACTCTTCCTTCATCTGTTGTATGAGTGCAATCATCATTATTTTAAATTCCTGACCTAGTAACTCCATAGCTGGTTCAATTTCAAGCATTTCATTTAGGTCTGCTTGGTGTTAAGCTACTTTTGTCTGGTTCTCTTATTTTGTTGTGTGAACCAATACTTCTGTTTTTCCTTGATGTCTTGGGGTCACTATCAGGGGTGCCAGGAAGGTGGTGTTATTATGTGGGAGTAGTTAACTCTGGTAGTGCACTAGAGGGGTGGTAGTTTATATTAAGTATCTGGAGGAGTGGGTTAAATTAGGTCTTGGTGAGGAGATAAAAATGGAAGAGGAACTGTTAGAGGAGGGAGAGATAAAGGAAAATGTAAGCAGAATAGGGGAAGGAACAAGTGGTATTAATTGATAAGTTAAAAGGAAAGGATATTAGACTAAAAACTGCCCTGTTTTGTAATTATGGAGAAATAGGTAATAATGTTTGAGAGAAAAAAGGAAAAAATTGTAAGTGTAGGGTCAGCTTTTGGTTTTATGAGGATGAGAAGGAAAGAGAAGGTGTAACGAGAAGGAAATGAAGAGAAAAAAGATATGTCAAAAGGGCTGTGAAATAAAAGTTCAGATATTAAAATTAAAGAAGGAAAAAGTGAGAAACAAAAATAGGAAAAATAATAAAAGCACAAGAAGCACAAGAACTATCCATGCATGTTTGGATGGGCTCCGAAATTTTCCCAGGAGCTTTGCCTTTGATATAGGTGCTAACTTGTGGACTGATGTGTTGAGCGACTAGAAAATAAAGTATATTGAAAGCAAAAAGGTAAAGTAATTATTTTTTTCTATCTTTACATAAACTAACACATGGCGAAATACTGATAGGGATGATTTATAAGAATAGTGCACAACTTTGTTTTAAAGTGGGGGAGGGTATAGGAATGATAGAACACCGAACAAGAACAATACCAACAAAAGAACAGCTGGGTCTAGACTTTGTCCTGGGGGCATATGAGGACTGTGTGGAGCTGAAATCTTTTGAGCAGCTGTGAACAGTGTCTGGAAGTATGTTGTCTTACTACTTTGTTGGTTTTTAGCATTTCAGGGTAGGGTTGAGATTAAGGTTAGGGGAATAATTTTGGTGTCTAGTATAGCTGAGAGTTCTTTATTCTGATAATCTAGGTAAATTATATTCAAGGCATAGACTTCTGGTGGATCAGGTCAGAATGGAGTTTGCTCTTATTGGATGATGGAGGTGACCCATGGGGAGACAGGTAGGTGGGGTCTACCTGCCATCTACCCAGGTAGGTGGTCTAGGAGGGTGAAATGTTGCAACACCCTACTCAGAGGGCAGATTGCTTATCTGAGTGGCTTTGGGTGCTGACCAGGGACTGGAGTCATGGGACGACCAGTGAATAGCTGGGTATGTGAACCAGGAGTAACTTCTGGTCCCTGGGCCTTAGTCTCTATTTCATACCCAATCTCCCTTCCAGTGCTTTGTAAAACCTCAAGTCGCTGTTTCTACTTGTATTGTGCTGCTAGCACCTTGCTAATAGACTGTGTGCTATCTGCTGATAAAGGAGTTAAAAAAACCGAACAAACAAAACAATGCCAGAGAATTGCCCTGTCTTAAGATGGGGGGCAGTCTCTGGGATATCCTTTTTTTAAAATTCAGAATTGACTTGTTGGTAGTGAGGAATTGTTTAAACAGTCCTGGAATCTTGGAATCATTTTCTCTGAAAAGTGTCAGTAGAAATTTCCTAACGGAACACCTACTTTTCTGAATTTTACTTGTTCTCTTTTTCTTCCATTACAGTCGGTCCGTTTACTTTTGCCCTTTTTTGATTAGTTTGAATGAGCAACAGTCTCTTAAAAAATTACCCCTCCCTCTAAGTTTTTAAATTAATTTTCGTGATGATGGGGCTATAGGTTAGGTATTAAACTGTTGGGTGGACCTTTCAAACCCACCGATGGTTCCACGGGAGTAAAACGAGGCTTGCTATGTTCATAGCGTGTCCAGCTTTGGAGCAGACTTGCGCCTGCACAGAAGTGTTTGGTCTGCTGTGGTGGATGTTCTTGCTCTCCTTCTGTGATCGTCACTGCTCAGACAGCTTTACTTTTTCATGGTTACATTGTTTTGTGCATTATCCACCAATTAATACCACTCCTTTTCCATAAAAATTATTTTATTTATTAATGTTTCTGTTACTGTTCAAATGTTGCTTACTATACCAATGCTACAGTTTTTCTTATTAATTTTTATTTCTAATGATTATTTTCAGCTTTTATCTTTACTAATGACATTTCTACTGTTTTGATTTATTTCCTTGCTCTTTTATAACTCTTTAAATATCCTTAGTAATTTGTCTTGTGTTTTAATTGACATAAAATTTACAACTATGAATTTTTCTCTATGCACTATTCTAGCAATATCCTTCTTTTAAAACAACCCTAAAATTTCAGTTTGTATTCATTTGGTAGCTAAAAATAATTTAATAATGAATTTGGTAATAAATTTCCCTGGTAATTGAGTCTTCTTTTTCTTCTGTGTTTTGTTATTAATTACTAGCTTTTGGATTGGAGTAAAAAAACCATAGTCTATAATATATCCACTTGGGAAATATTTGAATTTTTTGTAGTTAGTGTTTTTGTTAATATTTTATGAGCACTTATAAAGAAGCTATAATCTTATTTTCAAGGTTTAACATTAAACATGTATCAGATGTATCTTCCTAATTATTTTAGGATTGCTTATGTTATCAAAAAGCTTTGTTTTCTTTATCTGTCTTGGACTGGGAGAGGTTAATATTACCTTTTATACAAAATGTTTTAATTTTCCCTTTGCATCTCATGCATATCCCTCAACTGTTTGTCCGTGGAGGCTTGCACGTTGCTGTGCTGCTGAACAGTTTCCAGAGGAACTTCCAGGCTAAGATGGACTTTGAATAATGACCTAATAATTACTTTAGAAAAGCAGTCAACAAATACCCTATGGATTACAATAGTCCAACCTGCAACCGATCCCAGGAATAGGACAGGCCTGGGCATTGTGCTCCTTTCTTGGTGATGGGTGGCCATAGGCACACGAAGTCAAAGGCAGCTAATAACAAGAAGTTATAATTGATAAATTATCTCACATAAATTGAAAAGTCATTTTAAATGTATGTTTTTAGAGGATTTTTGTTTGCTGAATTAAACACATTACCTACTTCACGACCAGGGCTCTAAAATAGCTAGTAATATAGATAAATAATTTTTATTCATACTTTTGAAAGAATTATAAGTAGAAACTTTTATACTATGTAACTTTATCTGCTTAAGTATTTGATAACACACATGATAAATCATTTTAATAAGCAGACCCCAAATTTTTGTATTAATTGGAATTCTTCTTGTAGATCAAAATATCTAATGTTTTTATTTATATTTCAGGTTAGTGGGATGGTTTGGCCATGAACTCAACAGCAGATTTAAAATGGATAACAGTAAGTATATTTAATTTTATTTCACGAGTCGTTTTTTTTAAACTTTATTTCAACTTTTATATTTCAGTCTTTGTAATATATGCAATACCACATGCACCATGGAGAATGAACTTTGAAAATGTTACTGATGATTCTTAAAATAAAAATGACATTTCCACAGTGTTTCTAGAATTTGCGTGATTTTGAGTCTCTCCCTTTGTAGGGATTGATGAGGGAGTGAACTCTAACATGCATGAAAGCTGTTCATCTCCCATCAAGAACCTCAACATTGGGAAGGGGAGAGGAGATGGTTTAAAAAATAGTTCTACTGGTTTATAATTTATTCATCATATTAAAAAGAGTTGTACAATCATCATCACAATCAATTACAGTGCTATCTGTCTGATTACAAAGCTACTCACATCCTTGGACTATGATCAGAGTGTATTTACCAGAGGCTTAAACTACACGGGGACCCTGAAAATGGATTTTTGGGCTTCCATCACCATCCATAACTTTCTGCAAACTGGGTGTCAAGAATTTAAGCTCTGATACCATTTCCCCCAACAATTTTGGATTTTATTATTTATAATCCTTAGGCCATAAGAAGCCATGTGTTTCTTCCATGTGGATTTAGTTGATGCCTCAATTAGCTGATTAGTTGAAGACAAGCCTTTAAGGCCTTAGATACTATTCTTTTTATTAGTTGAGCACCATTTGATTTCTCTTTTCTAAAGCACCCATATCTTCAGTGATAGCTTCACGAGGGTGAGAATCAAGTAGAGCCACTTCATAGACTGATTGTTCATGTAATATGACTATGGTTAAGTGTGAGTTCAAAATCCATTCATATATCTATGTTTTATGTATGTTCCTGGTTCACTTTAGAGACACTATTATCATTTTATTAGAGAACATCCCCATGGGACATAATGTGATTCGATTGATAGTACCATTAGTTTAGCCAATGCTATAGAATTTAAAACACTTTTGAAAAAAGAAAAGTATGTATGTATAGGCCAGTTGTTTAGACCACAATACTTTAATTTTTAACTTGTACAGATTAAATGCTTACATTACTGGTCACTGTTTACACAAACAATGAGGGTTGTTACCCTAGTAACACTTTAAATAGCACTCCTTCACAAAGGCCGAACCATGCATATTAGACTACATGCTATTTAAAAATCAAAGCTGCATGGTAGTCATGGACCAGTGAATGCCTCTAAAACAAGAGATCTGAACCAACGTCCAATGACCAGCAAGTCTGTAACCTTGGGATAGCCTTCACCGCCTCTTCTCACACTGGGGTTTTTCAGCCTTAATTCCAAGGGAGCAGTTCAGTTCCTGAAATCTACTACAGGTAAGTTTGAGGTAAAATCCAGTCCACTCTTAATCAGCTCCATGTGGTGTGGCCTATGAAGGATGCTGTGCACCTGTTAAGGACAGAATCTAAAGTCCCAGTATTTATATATAGCATGTGGCTGGATAAACACTAGGTCAAAAGTGTCCAGTTAGGAGCATAATATTGGGCATATTCTCCTCTGGCTAGGTGTCAAAACCAGAGAAACTGGAGTAAGAATCCTAGTTTGTTGCTTAATAATTGTGTGATTGTGTATAAGTTTTAACCTTCAAATGTGCATAATAATATTTCCCAGGGTTTGTTTTGAGGATAAGACAAGTTAGAGAATTTAAACACATAACCCATTGTGGTATAATCAATTCTAACTCTAAACATCTCTCTGTGACAAAGTCTCATGCCTATAGGGTTTTCCAGGCTATACATCTTTATGGAAAGTGACTGCCACATCTTTGTGCCACATCTCTCTTGATTGTCGGCAGGTAATCAAACTAGCTAAGAGCTGAACACTAACTACTGAGTGACGGGACTGCATGTGGAGGGACGCAAATCTTTATGGGAGCAGACAACCTCATATTTCTTTCACCAAGAGGGTGCTGGATTTGAACCTCTGACCCTGCACTTAGCAATTCAATGCTTACCTCACAGTGCCACCCAGGTTCCTTTATGAAGCACTTAGTAGTACTCTAATAAATATTCACTCTCTCTTTGTAACTTTGGCCACATACTCAAGAGTTTAGCAATCCACCTAAGCGTTTAAACCCCAGTGGACATAAATGAGAATAAATCACGTAGAAGACTCACAAAATGCCCAATTTCTTTTTCTTAGATGGCTCGATTTCTGAAGCCCCTGGGATAAATAAAGAATTATAAGTGATTGCTTAAGTTCAACTTAAACATGATCCTTTAGCTTGCTTCCAACCCTGAGATATTATAAAATATATTTGTATCTGCAACTTGAGTGTAAAAAATTGAGTTGGGTTATTCCAGTCAAAATAGGACCTCATGCTTTATCTTGGCTGCTAAAATAATTACCTTTGCTGTTACATCAGGTACTTAACTATTTTCAGATGAGTTTTCACATCTGTAACTGAAGGAACAAAATTAGATCAGAGTGTTCTGTAAAAGACAAAATAGGAAATATTACAAATTCTCAACCATACCATTGTAGTGCTAAAGTGGCCTCAGATCACGTGTAAATGCCAGGGTGTGGCTATGTTCCAAGAAAACTTTACAAAAACAGAAAATGGGCTCAATTTGGCCAGCTGACCATAGTTTGATTATTCCGGGATTAGGTAAGTCTTTAAAGACTCAGGAGGTTCTATTAGTCTTGTAACCAGCCTCAACTTGACTTTAGAAGAAGCCCTGGTAGAACAGTGGTCATGTGTTGGGCTACAAGCTACAAGGTTGGCAGTTCAACACCGCGAGCTTCAATGAGGGGAGAAAAGATGGGGCTTTCCACTTCCATAAAGAGTTACAGTCTTGGAAACTCACAAGGGCAGTTATACCCTGCTCTATATGGTTGCTACCAGTCAGCATCAACTTGATGGCAGTGAGTTTAGTTTTGGTTTGGTAACTTTAATTTGATTGCTAACTACTCATTTTAGCTTGATTGTGTTAAATGTGCTACTATTTAGTCCACTTAATTTTAGTAACAGTAGTACAGATGTGATACTGGTTATGTTCTATAGTCTATAGTCTATAGTTCTATGGTCATTGGGTACATTGAATTAACAAATAAGGAACTAACTTTGTTTAATTTCACCTATGAACATATGCATTGGAGTAACTCAGGTTTATTTGTTTTGTTTGGTTCCACCACTTGTCAGTCAGTTTGTTGTACTGTGGTGGCTTGTGTGTTGCTGTGATGCTAGAAGTTATGTCTGTGGTATTTCAAATACCCAGAGGGTCACTCAGAGTGAACAGTTTCCAGCAGATCTTCCAGAAAAAGAACAGACAAGTAAGAAGGAATAGGCTGTCCACATTGGAGGAATTAACCACTGAAAACCTAGCATTGAAATATTTTCAGATACTAAATGGATTAAAGCCTTTAGGATTTCCATTTGCTGATGGACAGGACTTAAAATGAGAAGACACAATTGCGAAATCCTAATAATCAGAATTTGAAATGTACAAAGGGTGAATCTAGGACTATTGGAAATTGTAAAACAATGAACTGGAACACATAAAGTTCCATATCCTAGGCATTATTGAGCTGAATGGACTGGTATCTGGAATTTTTCATCAGAAAAATATACTTTTACTATGCTAGGAGTGACACAATTGAGAGGAATGTTGCATTTATTGTAAAAATGTATATTTCAAGATCTATATTGAAGCACAGTGCTGTATGTGATAGAAATATATCTATCTACAGTCAAGGAAATCCAATCAATACAACTATCATTGAAATTTATGCACCGTCCATGGAAGCTGGTGCTGCAGAAATTAAAGAATTCTACCAACATCTTCAATATCTTGGTCAAACATACAGTCAAGACGCATTGGCAATTATTGGTGAATGGAAAGTTGGAAAGACCAAGGAACAGTAGTGCTAGTGACCACATCTTTAGTGGTGATAGAAATGAAGCTGGTGACTTCATAATAGAATTTTGCAAGACCAACAACTTGTTCATGACAGATACCTCTATCCAAGAACATAAACAAATGGACACTGTATAGTGGACTTCTCCAGATGAATACACAGCAATCGAATTGACTACACCTGGGCGAAGAGATAATGGAAAAGCTCAACATCAGCAGCTAAAACCAGGCCAGAGGCTGACTGGAACAGCCCACCAGTTGCTCATAGGTAAATTCCAGTTGAAACTGAAGAAAATGAAAACAAGTACATGAGAGCCAAATATGACTTTGACTATATTCCACCTGAACTTGGAGAACATGCCAATAATGAACTTGCTGCATTGAACACTTTACAGAAGAGCTGATGAGCTGTGGAGGACATCAAAACCACGATTCATGAAGAAGACATTAAAAAGACAGGAAAGAAAGAAAAGATAAAAACGTGTATCAGAAGAGACTCTGAAATTTGCTCTTAATAATAATACAGTAGAGAAGGTAAATAGATAAAACGATGAAGTTAAAGAGCTCAACAGAAAATTTCAAGGGACAGTTCGAGAAGACATGTAATGCATTATAATGAAATATCCAAAGACCTAGTGTAAGAGAAGCAACAAGCAAGAATACAGTCAGCATATCTGAACCTGAAAGAACTCAAGAAAAAATTCAAACCTCAAGCTGAAAAACTGAGATTCTATGGGAAAAATAATGAATGATGTAGGAAGCATCAAAAGATAATGGAAAGTGTCATTGTAGAGGTGGGGGAGTGTAGAGTGGAGCCTCAAAGCCCATCGGTAGGCAACTGGACACCCCCTCGCTGAAGGGTTGTGGGGAGGGGATGAGCCAGTCAGGGTGCAGCATAGCAACGATGAAACATATAACTTTCCTCTAGTTCTTAAATGCTTCCTCCGCCAATCATCATGATCCCAATTCTACCTTACAAATCTGGCTAGACCAGAGGATGTACATTGTACAGATAGCAACTGGAAATACAGTGAATCCAGGACAGATGACTCCTTCGGGGCCAGTGTTGAGAGTGGTGATGCCTGGAGGGTGGAGGGAATTTGGGGTAGAAAGGGGGAATCAATTACAAGAATCTACGTATGGCCTCCTCCCTGGGGGATGGTCAGCAGAGAAGAGGGTGGGGGGAGACGTTGGACAGTGTAACATATGACAAAATAATAATATTTTATGAATTATGAAGGGTTCATGAGGGAGGGGGGAGGGGGAGGGAGAGGGAAAATGAGCAGCCGATGTTAAGGGCTAAAGTAGAAGGTAAATGTTTTGAGAATGATGAGGGCAACAAATGTACAAATGTGCTTGACACAATGGATGGATGGATTGTGATAAGAATTGTACGAGCCCCCAATAAAATGATTTAAAAAAAAAAGATGATGGAAAGAATCTATCTACAGTGTCATTGTGCCAGATGGAACTGGTGGACATCCAACCATTTTTGAAGGCAGCATATTAGCAAGAACTGTGGATATCTTTAACAAGAATGGGAATTCCAGAACCCTTCATTGTGCTCACGTGGAAACTATACATGGACCAAGAGGCAGTTGTGAGAACAGAACAAGGGAATACTGCATGGTTTAAAACCAGGAAAGGTGTCGACAAGGTTTATTCTCTCACCATACTTGTTCAATCTGTATGCTGAGCAAATCATTAGAGAAGCTGGATTAAAAGAAGAGGAATAAGACATCAGGAGGAAGGCTGATTCAAACCTGTGATATGCAGGACTTGAAGTGAGGACTAGAAGCACTTGCATGTTGAAGATCAAGGACTGCAGCCCTTAGTATGGATTGTAGCTGGATGTAAAAAACAAAATCCTTACCATTGGACCAATGGTTAACGTCATGATAGGTGGAGAAAAATTGAAGCTGTCAAGGATTTTGTCTTGCTTGAATCCACAATCAAAACTCATGGAAGAGGCAGCCAAGAGATCAAATGATGCTTTGTGTTGGGTAAATCTACTGCACCTTTTTAAAGTGTTGACAAGCAAGAATGCTACTTTGAGGACTAAGGTGCACCACAGCATCTTATTTTCAATCACCTCATATGCATGTGAAAATTGGACATTGAGTAGGCAGACTGAAGAAGAATTGATACATTTCAACTACGGTGTTAGCGACGAATACTGGAAGTACCATGGATTGCCAAGAAACAACAAACAAGTCTGTCTTGGGAGCAGTGCAACCAGAATGTTCCTTAGAGACACGGATGGCAAGACTTGTCTCATATACTTTGGGCATGTTGTCAGGAGAGACCAGTCCCTGGAAAGGGGCATCCTGCTTGGCAAAGAAGAGGGACAGCGAAAATGAGGAAGGTTCTCAACAAGATGGACCGACACAGTGGCTGCACCGATGGGCTGAAGCATAGGAACAATTGTGCAGATGGCACAGGACCGGACAGCGTTTCTTGTCTCACTGCGTTGCACATAGGGTCACTATGAGTCAGAACCTACTCAATGGCACCTAGCAACAACAACAACAAGAACAACAAGAGAAGCCACTTGATCAAGTCATTCTAAAAACTGTAGCCACCTTCATAGGTCATTTCATTTATCTCTTTTGCTTTTGATTAACATTACAAATAACACCTCCCAGCTAAGCTATTCAAATATTAATGGTCTCATTCATTGATATGATTTCATAAACAACAATAACAACAACAAAGCACTGGAAGCACTCACTTATCTACACCAAGAAATTTGGAAGACAACTACCTGGTCAACCGACTGGAAGAAACCCATATTTGTGCCCATTCCATAGAAGGGTGGTCCAACAGAATGCTCAAGCTACAGAGCAATATCATGGTTATTGCACGCAAGTAAAATTTTGCTTAAGGTTCTCCAACAATGGTTGCAGCAGTACATTGACAGGGAATGGCCAGAAGTTCAGGCTGGAATCCGAAGGGGACATGGGACAAGGGATACCATTGCTGATGTCAGATGGATCTTGGCTCAAAGCAGCAAATACCAGAAAGATGTATACTTGTGTATCATTGACTAAGCAAAGGCAATCAACTGTGTGGACCATAATAAACTGTAGATAACCTTGAGAGAGATGGGAATTTTAATGAACTTCATTGTGCTCATGAGGAACTTGTACATGGATCAAGGGGCAGTTGTGAGAACAGAACAAGGGAATACAATACTTACATGGTTTGTAATCAGGAAAGGTGTGTGTCAGAGTTGTATCCTCGCATCCTACTTGTTCAATCTGTATACTGAGCAAGTCATCAGAGAAGGTAGATCATATGAAGAGGAATATGGTATCAGGATTTAGAGGAAGGCTTATTAACAACCTGCAGGATGCAGATGAAACAACCTTGTTTGCTGTAAATGAGAAGGAATTGAAGTACTTGCTGATGAAATCAAGGATTGTAGCCTTCATTATGGATTACAACTCAACGTAAGGTAGACCAAAAATCCTCACAACTGGACTAATAGGTAACATCATAATAAATGAGAAAAGGGTTGAAGTTGTCAAGGAATTTGTCTTGCTTGGATCCACAATCAATGCTCGTGGCAGCAGCAGTCAATAGATCAATGTATTGCAGTAGGTAAATCGGCTGCACAAGACCTCTTTAGAGTATTGAAGGGCAGCAGTGTACTTTGAGGACTGAGCTGCACCTGACCAAGCCATGGTAGTGCCCATGGCTGCTGAAAGTACAAACTGATCTGTGTTGGAAATAAGCCAAGAGTGTTCCTTAGAGGCACAGATGGCAAGACTTCATCTGAGAAACTTTGGACATAATTATAAGGAGATACCAGCCCCTGGAGAAGGACGCCATGTTGGATAAGGTGGAAGGGCAGTGAAAAAGAGGAAGGCCCTCATGAAATGGATTGACACAGTAGCTGCGTCAATGGGCTCAGGCATAGGAACAATAGTTCAGGATGACCCAGGAGCAGGCAGTGCTTCATTCTGTTTTACATAGGGTTGCTATGGGTTGGAGCCGACTCAATGGCACTTAACAACAACAACAAGAACAACATCTTTTCTCATAAAGGTTTACTGGATTGGAAAACCTAGGAGCAGTTCTACTCTGTTCTCCAGAGTCACTGAAAGTCAGCATCGACTCGATGGCAGTTGGTTTGGTAAAGCAAAGTGCAGACAGAACACAATGCGGACTTGAGAACGAGAGAGCAGAGAGGCTGTCAGAGGGCTGTGCTCAGGGACAATGATTAAGGACATAGTTTATGGACTATGGTGGTTGGGGTGCTGTCGAGATGGTGGGAACAGAAAGGACGGGCATTGACAGTATTTACACTCCATAGAGTTTCTTAAAATATCTCAGAAATTCTAGAAGTAAAACTGTTTAAATTTCACGATTTTACTACATATTTTACTATTTCACTCTCTCTCTGGACAGTCTTTTTAAAGTCTCAGAAACTCACTGAGGCAGTTCTACCCTGTCCTCTAGGGTGACTAGGAGTTGGCAGTGAGTTTGTTTTTTTGGTTTGGATGGACACTCTTTGGGCCATGTTTTATGAGAATAATATTATGTTGACTTTTCAGAGCTCCAGTTAATCCCTGGGGCCAATGGATTCCGAATTTCAAACCCTCCCATTTTGTTGGTCTGTTCCTTGCATGCTAGTTTAGAGGTAAGTGACCTGTGCTTATCTTGCCCTTTTCTCTCTCTGATTGTGACAGTGTTTTCTCTGCTCATGAGCAGGATTATAAGTTTGCTTTGCACCTGAGCTGTGAATAAAGGACAGCGTTCTTTTTTTGGACAGTAACTCTTTGCTGCTTGGCATTCAGTAAATGTTAAACAGAACTGGTCTTGGAAAAGATGTTTTTAATTCCACTGAGAAGCTGTATGAGCTTCAGTGGTTCATTAATCATTAACTTGGTCTCTTTATGAACAAAATTAACATGTGAAATTAAATTATTTATTAATTCAATTTTCAACATGTATCTGAGAAAGTATGGGGTGCAAACATTGATGTGATTATGGTGACTCCAGAGAATTATTGTTTTTCCATTAGACTAAGTGAGGAGCTGACAAAGTTCCACATGAAGAAGCCATAGAAAGACATGCTTTAGGAATGATGCATTATGTTACTATTCCAAATATTGAGTGGAATTGTGTCATGAGGTCGACTGATTGGTTGTTTTCATTCTTTAACTGGGACTGCTATGCTAGTGCACTCATGCATATCTATACTATTAGCAGTTTAAGAAAATTTCAAAATCCATTTACAGCTTTTCTTAAATAGGTTTAGTTTTGCCCTGAAAAAAAATAATATCCACATAAGCACAATATCATTTTTTATCTATCTATGACTACTTTCTATCTATCTATCTATCTATCTATCTATCTATCTATCTATCTATCTATCTATCTATCTATCTATCTATCTATCTATCTATCTATCTAGCTAGATAGCTATCTAGCTATCTAGCTATCTTGCTATCTTGCTATCTATCTATCTATCTTGCTATCTAACTAGCTACCTAACTAGCTACCTAACTGTCCATCCAACAGGTATCAGGTGCTATTAAGTTAGTTCCTATTCATAATGACCCATTGTACACACACACACCCCAATCGCCTAGCCTGCAGCATTCTCACAATTGTTTTGTTTGAGTGCATCATTGCATTCACAGTGTAAATTCATCTTTTCAAATGTCTTCATTTTTGTTGATCCTGTACTTCACCAAGATGATGTCTTTTTCAAAGGGTTGATCTCTCCTCATAACATGTGCAAAGCATGCATTCTGGCTGCATTTCTTTTAGATAGACATGTATTCTTCGGCATTTCATAATACTTTTCATATTCTTCATCAACATCAAAATTCAAGTTCATCAAGCCTTCTGTGGTTTTTTAATTTTTTGTCCAACGTTCATATCCATATGAGGCAACTGAAAGTACCAAGCACTGGCGCACCTTAGTCCTCACGGTGACACCTCTGCTCTTTAACACTTTAAGGGATCTTGTGGTGCAGATTTGTCCAGTGCAATACACCTATTGATTTCTTGACTACTATTTCCATGCGATTTGATTTGCTTCCAAATAAAATGAAATCCTTGACAATTTCATTCTTTTCTCCATTTATCATGATGCTGATCCTTGTCTAGTTTTGAGGAATTGGCTTTCTTTACACTGAGTTGCAATCCATACCACAGGCTGTGTAGTCTTTTGATTTTCATTGGAAAATGCTTTAAGTCCTTCTTGCTTTCAGTAAGCAAGATTGTGTCATCTGCATATTGCAAATTGTAAATAAAACTCCCCTCAATCATGATGCCACATTTTTCTTCAGATAATCCAGCTTCTCAGCATATGGATTGAATAAGTATGGTGAAAGGATACAACCTTGTCCCACACCTTTTCTGATTTAAACCAGTATTCCATCATTCTATTTGGATTACTTTCTATTTATCAATATACAGATTACTTTGAGCACAATGAAATGGTCTGGAATTGCCATTCTTTGTAATATTAGCCATTGTTTGTTAATATACACACAGTGGATTCTTTTGCATAATCAATAAAGCACATGTAAAGTTCTTTCTGGTATTTTCTGCTTTCAGCTGACATCAGCAAATGCTATATCCTGATTTACAACCCTTTTTGAATCTGGTTTTATTTTATAGCAGCTCCTGGACAAGGTATTACTGCAATTGTTTTAAATGATCTTCAATCAGATTTTACTTGCTTGTGATACTGATGATATTGTTCAATAATTGCTGCATTCTTCTTACATGCCTTTCTTTGGAATGGGCACATATTTGGATCTCTTCCAGTCAGTTAGCTAGGTAACTGTCTTCCAAATTCCTCAGCATAGACTAGTGAGTGCTTCCAGGGCTGCATGAGTTTCTTGACATGCTTCAGTTGGTGTTTTGTCGATTTCTGGAGCCTTGTTTTTGGTTAATGCATTCAGTGCAGTTTGGGCTTCTCATTCATTGCTATTGGTACTTTATCATCTGCTGCCTCTTGAAATGGTTGGCTTTTATCCAGTTGTTTTGGTACAGTGACTCTGTGTATTCCTTCCATTTCTTTTGATGCTTCCTTCATTGTTCAATATTTTGCTCATGTATTCCTTCAATATTAAAACTTGAGGCTTGAATTTTTCTTCAGTTCATTAAGTTTGAGATATATCGGGCATTTCTTCTTTTTGGATTTCCTAACTCCAGGTCTTTGCACAATTCATTATAATAGTTTACTTTGTCTTCTTGATCTGCCCATTGAAAGTTCAGTTCTTTGACTTCAACATTCCTTCCATTCACTTTAGCTATTCTACATTTAAGAGTTCCAAGTCTCTTCTGATCTTCACTGAGCTCTTCTCCCTTTCTTGTCCTTTTAACTACGGTTAGCTTTCTGTACGTATGATATTATTGATGCCATCCCACAGGTCCTCTGGTCTTCTTTCATTTGCGCTCAATGATGCCAATCTCTTCTTGAAACCCAGGTGGTATGTACTCATGGTGCGACATAGCTCTCCCAGTCTTGTTTGAATTGTCGTCAACTTTAACCGAACTTACATATGACTAATGGATGGTCTGTTCCGCGGTTTGTCCTTGACCTCATTTTGGCTGATGACCCTGAGCTTCTAGTCATCTTTTCTCACAGATGTATTCAATTTGATTCCTGTGCATCCCAACTAGCGAGCTCTGTGATTACATTGTAGAAGCAGGTATTTACCAGGAAGAAGTCATCCGTCTTACAAAATGTTATCAGGTGGACTCCAACTTTGTTTCTGTCACCAAAGTCCTATGTCCCAACCACTGTTCATCCTCTTTGTTTTCAACTTTCTCATTCCAATTGTCATTAATTAAGAATGCATTCAGATTGCACGTTTGATCAATTTCAGATGACAGATGTTGATACAAAATTTTAATGTCTTCATCATTAACTTTAGTGATTGGTGGAGAAATTTGAACAATCGTTGTATCAAATGGACTCCTTATCGGCATTGAGATTTTACCCTATCACTGACAACAGTGTACTTCCAGACAGATCTTGACAGCTTCCTCTTTGATGATGAAAGTTATGTTGAGTTCGTCATTAATAAACCGTATGATTGTTAAACGGAAAATAGCCAATAGCGATCCATTGTAGCTCACAAATGTCCAGGACATCCACCTTTATGCATTCCATTTCATTTTTTACTCATTTATTTTAGACTCAGACACACATTTGCTGTTCTGGTTACTGATGGGTGCTTGGTCCTGTTTCTCCTCACTTTGGAGTGTGCCCCATCATCAGATGAAGGTCTTGAAAGCTCAACTCCATCCAGGCCATTAAGATAGTTTCTGCTTTGAGCAGGTAGCTTTCCTCTTGTTGTATTTTGATTGTCTTCCAAATTGAGGGGCTGGTCTTCTGGCAGTATATCAATGTTCTCCTGCTGTTTATAAAATATCAGTGGCAAATCCCTTAAAAGTGGACATCGTAGGCTTTCAAGAAGCTCCACAAAGCCTCTTCACCATGGGTGACCCTGCTGGATTAAAAAAATAATACATAGCTTTCAGGATCACAGCGACACAGAAGCCACCACAGTATGGCAAACAGACAAGTGGTTTGTGTTTGTGTGTATGCATGCATGTTTTGGGTTATTTGAATATTATTTTCAGGCTGAGTGCTAAATTTATTTAAGTAGATAAATAGTATATTAATATACATATTAAGTTGATACATATTTTATATTAAGATTTTTAAGGAAAATTTAAATTTTAACTTAATGTACGTCTATTTCTCCTGAACCTTATTGCTATAAAGTCTATCCCAACTCGGAGAAACCCTAAAGGGCAGTGCAGCACTTGTTCTTAGAGCTTCCAAGGTTATACTCTGATTATTATTACTTTTGGATCATTTTATTGTGGGCTCTTACAACTCCTGTTACAATCCATACATCAATTGTATCAGACATATGAGTACATAAATTGCCAACGTTCTTTTCTAGACATTTATTTTCTACTGAGCCCTTGGGATCTGCTACCCTTTTTTTCCCTCCCCGCCCCACTCTTGTGGCCCCTTGATAGATTGTTATTGTTTTCATATCTCATACCGATGGTCGTCTCCCTTCTTCTCCCTTCTCCTTTGGTTCCTGTGTTTCTTCCCCCCTGGACGGGTGTGTGTGGTTATGTGCCATTCAATGCAATTGGTACCCCCTCCTCCTCAGCTTCCCCACTCCTCGCTCCCCTTTTGGTCTTGCTATTCGCATTCCGGGTCCCGGGTTCCATGTGTTCTGAGCTTTATCTCTTGCTGATATCTATGCACAGGCTCCCTTCCAGTGCAGAGTGGGAAGCAGCACTGGGGTCATCATAGTGGGAGGGAGGGACCAGAGGTATAGTGCATGATCCATCCATGCTCCACTGCACCCTGATTGACTCATCCCCTTCCTGTGACCCCTCTGTGGAGGGATATTCCATTGTCCACAGATGGGCTTTGGCTCTCCACTCTGGCCACCCTCATTCTCACCAATGCATCTTTGTTTGTTTGTTATGAATATTCTGATGCCTGTTACCTGGTCCTGATGAAACCTCGATCGCACAGGCTGGTGTGCTTCCTCCATGTGGGCTTGTTGCTTCACTGTTGGATGGCTGCTTGTTTAACTTCAAACCTTTAAGACCCCAGACACTATAACTTTTAATAGCCGGGCA